GTCACTTAGTAACTATGTGACCCTGGGCAAGTCACTTATCTGCCTGTTTCTGTAAATAATTAATAATAACTAGCATTTATATACCACTTTAAGGGCCGCAGTGCACTATATGAGGATTATCTCATTTGATAAATGGGAATTAATGGGAATAATTGCTCCTACCTCACAGAGAGAATCAAATGAAATAACAGATGTAAAATGCTTCCTCAACCTTAAAGTGCGCTACAAAGTCTAGCTGTCTGTTATCTCATTTTTAAAAATTTCTTTTTTTGCTTGTTTTATAAAGTCCATTACATTAGCACAGCAGCAGGGCCATGCCCCACACCTGTGCTCTCCCCAGAACAGGGAGCTAGCTCTCTCTCTCTCTCTCTCAAGAGGGTAGGCATCTTCTCTGCCACCCGCTGTCCCAGGCAGAACTCACAGGTAAAATGATGTGTCTAGGGTCCCAGGGCTAGGACATGAACCCAGAACTTCCTGGCTCCAAGGTCAGCTCTCTAGCCACTACGTTACACTGCCACTTAGTACTGTAGTAGTACAGGGATGTAATGTATAAATAAACAAAAGGCACATTGCAGGGATATGTTCAAAAGATCTGAAGGTGTACATGATAAAGAAAGTTTGAAGACCCTCTGGCCTAAAGTACTCAGGGGTAGCCCTCTGTCCACCTTCCCTTCTGGGCAGCATCTAATGGTGGGTGGCTCTTTCCCAACCCTTTCTCTCCACCAAAATGTACCTGTCCAGCATCCTATCCTGCAGGTTCTCCTAGGTGAGAGCATGCTAATCTGCTAAATTAATCCATGCTAGTGTGTGGGTGCTAAAGAATTGTGTTTTTCATCATACCAATCAAATGTCAAGCTATATGGAGACACACTGTTTCCCAGAACTAAGGCCCAGCAAGCAGGCTGTGCCCTGAGCTTGGCATAACAACACTCCTTTGTGCTCTGGATGATCTTACCCTCTGGCAAAGTGTATTCTTTGACTAGTACCAGGTGTTCCCTGAGGGATTTATGATTTTCATATTAATCAATAATTATTTAGATCTATTGGACCTCCCCCTATTTCCCAGGGACCTGAGAGCCAACATGCTGCAGCCTAAAGCCATCCATCACATCTCCTGACATGCTCTCAATCCCTGTTTCTTGTAACTGTCAAGTGAACCAAACCAGGTACTGCACTCCTGTTCCTGCCACACTACCTCTGGTTCTGTACTCCACTGAATGATCACAAGGTTCAGTGACCCTTAAGACTTGAGACACTGTTCCCATGGGACCCAAGCCCAAGAAATGTCAACCATGGGAACTGCTTACTCAAGACCTAAGAATGATTGTGTTGTGCTCCAGCCTCTTTCATATATGTAAGCCCTGCCTTTGCCCCATCACATTAAGACGTCCTTTTCAAGAGGCAGCCTTCCACTCGCAAGCATTTTTCTCACTCTGATATAAATTAAACTTGTTTGATTCCTGACTTTCCAGTCTTTAGCTTGCTTTGTTTGGCTCTGGCCACTTATAGGTTAGAGGCCAGTTCTGGTCTGGTTTACACAAACTACCAAAAAATTACTTTACAGAGATAAAAAAAAATTCATCTGGAAGACCAAAAGGTCAAGAATATCAAGGAAATAAAAAAAAAATGTGAAGGGAGATGACCTACCCTACCAGATCTCAAAGTGTATTTTAAGGTGGTAATCATCAAAACAATCTGGTACTCTCTAAGAAATAGAATGGTAGATCAGTGGAATGATTAGGTACACAATACACAATAGGTAATGAGCACAGTAATATAGTATTTGATAAATGCAAAGATCCTAGCTTTTGGGACAAAAACACTATCTGACAAAAACTGCTAAGAAGGCTGGAAAGCACTTTGGCAGAAACTAGCTATAGACCAACACCTCACATCATTTACCAAGATAGGATCAAAATTACAGTTACACCGTATCTACTTTGTACAGACATTTGTATGTAACTACTGGTATGTGTCAATGTCACTTCCCCACTTTAGGATGTGAAACAAATGAAAATAAAGATGGTCTCAAATTTAACTTTTTATCTCTGGTCCAGCACCTGTCAGACAGCCAACTGGGAAAGCTTCTTAAAGTGTCCCAAAAGTCTTAAAGTAAGTACCTTAAAACTGTGCCAGGTATAATTTTGGTTCACTGCTCACTATTGGCAGATTTTCTACAACTGAGCGTAACACTGGTTGTCTTCCCTGCCTGGAACCCTCTCCCTCCTCACCTCTCCCTCCTGGCTTCCTTCAAGTAACAGCTAAAGCCCCACCTTCTGCAAGAAGCCTTTCCCAGTCCCCCTTAATCTTTGTGCCTTCCCTCACAAGAGGTACTTGAGACTACCCCCAAATCATCCTGTCTGTATCTTGTCTGTACATGGTTATTTGCCTGTTGTCTCTTCCATTCGACTTGTGAGCTCCTGGGTTGCAGAGACTCTCTTTTCCCTTTCTGAGAGCTTAGCACAGTGACAATGCAGCACCCAGTAAGCGCTTCATGGATGCTCCTTTCTTCCTCCCCACCTGTCTCTCTGCATTCCCAGCGCCCTGCACCCAGTAGGCGCTTCACGGCTGCTCCTCTCCCTCTCGGTACGCCCCTTCACCCCCACGGCCCAGCCCGCACCTTCGACCTGCACGGCCCGGCAGCGGGGCACGCACGCCACGAAGCCCGCCACGCTGAGGCAGCCCTCGGGGAAGCAGTCGAGGCTGGCGTCGAGCACGCGCACGCGCGGGTTGACGAGCACGCGCAGCGGGCAAGGGGCCATGCGGCGGGCCTCTCGCACGGCCGGCGGGTAGCTGGCGAGCAGGCGCTCGGGGAACTCCACCGCGAGCACCTGCAACGGCACTCCGAGCTGCGGCGCGCTCAGCCCCACGGCGCCCTGCGCGCGCATCACGTGCACGAGGCGCGCGATCAGCGCCTGCGCCTCGGGCCCCGCCAACTGCGCCGGGTCCACGGGCGCCGCCACGGTCCGCAGCGCCGGCTCGCCCACCTGGCACACGTGTCTGTACGGCGGCTCGGGCGGCCGCAGCAGCCAGCGACGCACGACGCGGGCCCACGGGCGGCGCAGCGCGGGGCCTTCGACGGGAGGCGCGGAGCCCGCGACCCACGGCCCCACGCTGCCGCAGCCCCGAGCCAACGCTAGCAGCTTCTCCCAGGGCCTCCCCATGGCCATCAGAAGGCCGGTCGGCCGGGCACGCCACTTCCGCCGCTAAGGGTGCTGGGAGATGTAGTTCCCAACCGCCTTCCGGGCTTCTGGCCTGGGAAGTCCTACGTGCGGAGGTCCTGTTGGGAGGACTTGGAGTAAGTCCTAGGTTAGGGTTCTTCAACCTTGCATCAGTGCGCCTGTGTTTTATTTTTTCACTTTGGTTTGTTATTGTCAACATTCTGGTTTTTTTTTTTAATTTTAAGTTAAAAATTTTCCCCCTCCCTCTTGTTCCCCCTACCCTTTGGGGAAGTAAGCAACATGATATCAATTATATACTTAATGTCATGCAAAACATAGTTTCATATTAGTCATGTTGCCGCTGCCCCGCCCCCCCCAAATGAAAAAGTATGCTTCAATTGGCCCTCGTTCTCTGGAGGTGGGTAGCGTTGTTCATCATGGGGCCTCTGGAATTGTCTTGGGTCCTTGTCTTGAGCAGAATAGCTGTGTACAAGGTCCTCCTGGTTCTGCTCATTTCACTTTGCATCAGGTCATATACATCTTCCCAGATTTTTCTGAAACAGTTTCTTGCTCCATTTCTTACAGGAAAACAGTAATTCATCACAGTATATACCACAACTTGTTCAGCCATTCCCAATGAATGGACATCTCCTCAATTTCCAATTCTTTGCCACCACAAAAAGAGCTGTTACATTTTTGTACATTTAGGTCCTTTCACTTTTTTTGAGTTCTTTGGGATACGACCTAGTAGCATTGTTGTAGGGTCAAAAGGTATGCAGTTTGACAGCTGTTTGGTTATAGATTCACAGCTCCACCAACAGTTCATTGTTATTGTGTCTGACTTTCTAATTTCTTCTGAGTTTTCTTGGCAAAGAAACTGATGTGGTTTGTCATTTCCTTCTTCAGCTCATTTTACAGATGAGGAAACTGAGGCAAACAAGGTTAAGTGACTTCCTCAGGGTCACACAGCTAGGAAGTAGCAGAGGCTGGATTTGAACTCAAGTCTTCTTGACTCCAGGCTGTGTTCTATCCACTGTGATGTACCTGTTTTTCCATATCCCCTCTAGCATTTGTCATTTTCCTTTCCTGTCATGTTACCCAATCTGATGGGTTTTATATAGTTTTATATTTCTCTAATTATGCATGAGTTAGAACATTTTTTCACATAACTATCGATAGCTTTGATTTTTTCCAAAAACTGCCTGTTCATATCCCTTAACCTTTAATCAATTGGGGAATGGCTTTTTTTTTTTTTATCAATTTGGCTCAGATCCCTGTGTACTAGAGAAGAGACCTTTATCAGAGAAATATGGTAAAACGTTTTCCCAGTTTTCTGAACTCCTCATTTTGGCTGAATTGGTTGTTTGTGTACCCATGTTTTTAAAAAACATTTTAATAACTACGCTTAAATATAATTGGTTTCCTTTGTAGTCCTATGCATCTTTTCTTATACATTTAAAAGAGTATTCTGACTGCCAAAAAGAGCTAGGACACACACAAAAAAGGTTAACAATCCCTGACCTAGTCCATCCTCCTCCTTTCACAAAGTTATTCACATAAGATGAAAGAGTAGCTGTGGGTCCTAGTGGAACTTACAGTAGAGATGGCCCAAGTCAGAATCCTGTTTCAGACATTTACTCACTGAAGTGACCTGGACTAAGTCTGGAACCTTTCCTCAGTTGTAAAATGGGGAAAGTCACACCATCTATCTTACAGGGTTATTGTGAAGATCAAATGATATTTCAAATGATATATGTAAAGCACTTTGCAAACCTTTAAGCACTATACTGAGGTCAGCTATTAGTAGTAAGAGCAGCAAAGGTATATCGAGTAAGTCAGTCATCATGGCTAAAATATTTTTTATTTATTATATATCTTTATATGCCACCCAATCTATTTTCAAACCCAAAGAGTTACTCCACAACTCCCTTTCTGTATATGTGTATTCCTATGTCACCTCCTCAGGGACAGTCTCAGAAAAAAGGCCACAGGCCTGCTAGAGGTAAATTCAATCACAAGAAGTCAATGTGGTCAGGCCACAGCACCGTTAACAAACATTCTTCCTCCAAAATCCCTGCATATAATATAGGCCCACCCAGATTCTGGGTAAAAGGGTTCAAGTTGTAGGACAGGGTCAGACAGAGCTTGGAGATGGTACTGGGTCTTGCAGATGTATATCCAGTCAAGAAATTATCGACTCCAGGAGGCACAGGTCCCAAACTCTGCAGATGTTTAAGGAGGAGGCACTAGCTACCCTCGCACTAGGTCCCAGTCGAAGGAGGGTCAGATGGCAAAGGGTCCCCCAGGGCACTTTCCTCTTCTGTATTCTCTAGGGAAGTTTCAGGAGCAGATGCCAGACTAGGTTCCTGTTCTATAAGTTCTGGAGCTGGAGCTATGATCTCTTGTTCCAGTCCTTTCTCATCCAATAGAAAAACTGTCTCTCTCTTTGGCAAGATAAAAGCCAAGGGCTCCTGGATGACTTGGATATTGACATGTCCAAGGCTTCTGAACTTGGAGAGCTGAGTGGGTGGAACACCTGGGTTCAAAAGGTTAGGGAAGTGGGGAAAGCAGGGGAAAAAAAGAGAAAAGAGGCAAATTAGTCAATGTCTGCCCACAGAGAAGCAGTAAGATACATGATTTAACATCTTTAGAGACACATCAGATCATGACTCCCCCACCAGCCTTCTGACACTGGCAATTCTCCATCCTCAGTCTCCTCTTCTTTCAAGTGGCAGGTTCCTTCCCAGAATCTCCATCTGAGTCAGTACCCAAGTCAGCCATGCTCTCATCAAACCTGGACCAGCCCATGAATCGACAGATGATTTCTCTACTTCTCCTGACCCCCACCCCACCACTGTGTTTCTCCATTAAAACGTAAGCTCCTTGAGAACAGGGACTGTCTTTCTTTTTGGTTGTATATGTAATCCTAGTACATGAGAAGAGTTTCACAAATGCTCGGTCACTCTGTCTGCCTACATGGTTACCACATAACAAAAAGCATGCTATGCAATGAGAATTCAAGAATGACCACAGGGCTACAAATAAGGAACAACTCCGGCAGAGCTGGATCAGCCATAAAGTCACCACAGCCAACGAGCATCCCCACGGAAAGACTGAAGTGATTACGAGGACAAAGTGAACAGTGAGACATGCCGGTCTTGAAATTGCTAGTGGATGCTCGCATTCCTGTCACTCTCAGCAGAGATGGATCCTGTTCTTCAGAGAAGAATACGAGCAATAAACAAAAACAAAAAGGTCAAGTACAGAAAAGCACTGTTCTCAATCTCCTACCCAAAATCTGTGCTATCTGGGTCGGCGGGAAGAGGACTTGGAGACAGCGATTTAGGTAAGGGACTAAGTCTTCCAGGAAAACAGTGCAGAACTGGATGAAGAGTTCTTGTTCCCGGCTACTGAAGGCTGCCTCCTCTGCCCGGTGAAAGGCCAATATTATTTTTGTTACCTAAAAAAACAAAAACAAAAACAAAACAAAGCCCCCAAAGCTGTCTTTAGTCACATGAGGTACATTCTACAAGTACTATCAAGCCCCAAGTTGCTCTGCTATGTACAACACGACAAAATTTTAGACAGAAAAATACCTTAAAAACCTGATTCATTGCATTTAATATTCAAGCTCCAAATCAAGCTCCTGAAACCAGCCCACCTTCACAGCAGTCTCTGCCTGTTGATTGCTGGTGTAGTTCTTAGCACAGTATTAAATGCCAATGAAACCAATACCAATGCAACAAGTATGCAGACAATATAGAAAATGACTTATTTCCAACATAAGAATAAGCCCAAACTGTGATGGACTCAAAAAAGGAAGCAAGGAATAAAACATGTTTCCTACTGAGTTTTGCTCTTTGAGGCAACAGCAAGTCCAGGAAACCTCAGAGAAGAGAGACAGAGACATGGCAAAATATCCCATCTCCCTCCTCACCACAACTGGCTCCAGGGGCTGAAGCTAGTTTCCACCTAGCTAAGACAGACACCAGCCAAGCTCTAAGTCCTGTTCACTGTAGCCTAGAGAAAAGCTTATTTTTACCCATAATTCACTACCCTAGGTCTGGCTCTGGAATGCTTACTCACACTCTGAGACAAAAGGGAAAAACCAACACTGAAACAAGAGGGTAAGTAAAATGAAGACTAGTCCTAGGAAAGTACGTATAAAAAAGAGAAGAGTGCTAGGAAATAGTACCACCATAATAAGAAAATTAGTATTGAACCAGGAATCGGTACGACAGTTCAGAACCTCCTCCAGTCCGCAGGTCTGGCCAGTAGCCAGAGCTTCTCACCTAGGATCTTGCACATGACTGTTTTATAAAGCCATTATCTACAAATAAAATAGGATTGGAAGAATGGGAATGTCAAAAGGAGAGAGAGAGGGAGAGGCTTTCTAGACCTTCCAACTGATCCCTAAAAAGAAGGACTGCACCATGATTCTCGGCATTTCCCCACCTTGCCAAGGGCATCCTGTAAAGAGGCAGTCACTTCCTGAGCCAGTGCCACAGGACAACAGAGACGCAAATCATTGAATGCAACCAGAATGTTGTTGAGGAAACAAGCCAGTGGTGGGAAGTCCAGCAGTCCCATGGGGGGCTGCAAGGTTCCAGGCTGAGTCACAGGGACGGCAGCAGGAATCGCACTCCGCAGTGCAGCAGGAGCAGAAATAAGAGTATAGGAATTCATTTCATCCTGAAACTTCTCCACACCTTCTTGAACTGCTTTCTTGAAAGTATTCAAAGCAACCTGCTGGAACACAGGTGCAAGTTGGCCCCGAAAATCAGCCCCTACTCGGCTGAAGGAGAGCCCAAAGTACATACACTGGCCGAGCAGCGAGTCCAGGCGGCCGCTGCCTCCACGCTGAAGGTCACTCTCCAACACCTGCAGGAACTGTGAGACCTTCTGCAAGACCCAGCCGTGGAAGATGGCGCTCTCGTTCACCGAGGGCTCACCGGCAGCCAGTGGCAGCAATGGGTCCTCATCAGAGAATATGGCACGGTACTGTGTGATGATGTCGAAAAGGTGGACACGACATGCCTCGATGGTCTTGGTGGTGTGAAAATAAGGATCCTCATTGGGAATGGAGGTCAGGATGGAACGCAGCCATGCATCTCGGGCCTGTAAGAACTTGATTCGCAACTCAGCCTCTGTGAAAATGTCCATTCGACGAAGATAGCCAATAACTCGGAGACAGGCAGGGAGTTGGATGTTGGTTCGAAGTTGTTGGATCAACTGGCTGAGCATCAATTGCATAGACTGACGGACTTCATTAACAATGCCCTGCAAATTGTAGCAGAAGTGGTTAGCGGGAAAATGGTAAGAGTTTGTTTTTTAAAAGACTGAACATGTGTGATTTCATTAGTATGGGGAATTCCCATTAAAAATCTTTTTCTGGCAAGGAAGATTGGACCTCCTCTGCAAATGATAATGTTAGTGGGTGGCCTGGGGTACTGAGATGCTAAATAAGTTGTATAGAGGTCACACAGCCAGGCTGTGTCAGAGAGAAGGCTTTCTGACTCCAAGGCTGGATCTCGATCTGCTACACCACACTACCTCCAACATAAAAAGCATGGCTGCACCAAAGTCAGGAAGATGTTTTCTAACCCATTTTATCAAACGTCTTCACCTGGCATTCAAAGGTCTCCACAACCTGGCACACCCCATCTTCTGAGCATCCTCAAGCTCTCTGTTCCAGCCAAATCAGAAAATGCTTTGCTGCCCGAACAAACATGGTGTACCCATGTCCGAGCCCTCATTCAGGTGGCTTTCCATCTGTATTACTCTTTATGGTTTAAAACTCAAGTCCAATGCCACCTCCTTCAAGAAGCCTTCTGATGTCCCTGGTGAATTACAATCTTCTTCCTCAGACCTGACAAGGCCTCTTGCTTCCTAATTTCCTAATGTGTTTTGTAATATTGTCTACAAGAGCTTCCTTATTGGTATCTTATGTGAGCACCTTGAGAGTAGGGCTGGTGTCTTAACTAACCTTTACATCTGCCCGAGGGCCTAACAGCATGGGTTTGTTGACTGATTCCTATGCTTTACGGAATTATGAAGCTAAATTTTCTTAAGAACTATTTTGTAGATTGCTAGCAAAGCCAAGTTTCAATTTATGCTCCAGATTATTTCTCAAAATAATATATAATTACAATAACATATAATAAAGTAAATACACTAAGGGGTTTCCAGCTAACATTTCTATGCATGGTTAGGTAGCAGGGAAAACACCAGAGACCTGAGACCCAACCTGGCAAGCTTAAAACAACAGTGGTGATACCTGGATTACAGGGATGGTAGAATATTTTCTTTCCAGTCTGCGCACATAGGCTGCAAGCTCAAGAGCCTCCTCATAGTAGCTATTTCGAACACAGGTGTCCATTAACTGAGGGATCTCCAAGATTTCCAAGATCTCTGTGTGCCGGTTCAGGGTCAGAGTATTCATATGGCGGTTAGAACCAATCTCTTCGGCATCCTTCACAAAGTTCCTATTGCAAATCAAGGGATAAATACATGAGTCCAAAGCTTGAGTCCAATTATCTCACATTCTCACCCAAGTTCAGGACAAAGAACCAGAGATTTTCTATTCACATCCAACAGAAGTGCCAGCACAGTGCAGCAGAAAAAGGCCTGCCTGTTGGAATCAGGTTGGGGTTGAAATGCCAACTAAAATATTTACTGGGTGACGCTGGACAAATCATCACCTTTCCTAGCCTACTTTTCCTCATCTGTAAAACAGAGCCAGTAATCCTTGCATTTCCTCCTTCACAAACTTGCTGCAGGGACAATGCTCATTCAGCCTTAAAGCAATAGAGAAACTGCAGCCATTATCATGATCTCCATCATAACTTTGGTTCAAGTCACTGCAATAAACAATGCATTTCACATCTCAAATCCTGCTGAAACAAAGCACAATGCTTTGCCCTTGATAAACGCTTCATTCACTCATTCAGTTTTTCCTATTTATCGCACTTAGAGCTGGAAGGCCGCTAAGGATCATCTAGTCCCGATCCCCGCATTTTACAGACGAGGACACAAGTGGCTCAGAACTGTTTAGGGACTTGTTCATGGAATCCCAAGGAGTGAGTGTCACCTCCGGGATCTGTTATTATTTAACGCTAAAAAAAAATAACGAACGCTAGCATTTGCATAGCGCTTTCGGGGTTGCAGGCGCTTCACAAACGTCATCTCATGAGATGCTCGCAACCACTCTGGGAGGGCGGGCTGTTACCACCCGATTTACAGGGAGGCACCGGGGCGGGCGCGGTCGGGGGCGGCCGAGGCTCCCCTCCCCCTCGCGGGGCCCGCACCGGCAGCTCTGCTGGAAGCTGGGCAGGCGGCCCAGCAGGCGGCCCAGGGCGGCCTCCACGTCCCCGAAGAGGCGGTGGATGCGCTCGGTGCACTCGGCGCCGCGGATGAACGTCTTGTAGTTGGCGAAGGCCAAGTCCCGCGTCTGCTGCAGCAGCTGCGCCCGCTCCTCCGCCAGCCGCTCGGGCTCCCGCCGCAGCCGCTCCAGCCCCGAGCCGCTCAACTCGCGTAGGTAGCGCCCCACGTCGGGCCGCTCTCGCCACTGGCCCTCCGGGAACCGGTCTCGGAACAGCGAGGCCAGGAGCCCCTCGTCCTCCACCTCGCCCAGCGCTGCCGCCGCCCCCGCGGCAGCCCCGCCGGCCGCCACCCCGGCCATGTTGGCGCTTCCGGGTTCTCCGCCCGCCCCGGCGGAAGCGCTGAGCCGCCTAGGAACGAACGTCTCTTCCGGGAGGTCCTTTGGTTCCTCCGTAGAGCTCGGTGCCCATCTAGGAAAGTCCTCCCAGCCTCTATGGTACACGGTGGAGGTCGGCCGGGAAATCTTGGCAAAGGAGGGAGGAGTTACGTGAGCGGCCAATGAAAATGTGGGCGGGGAAAAGAGGTTACTTCCGCTTCCGGCGGTCTGAAGCGTGCGGCTCTGCGTTTGCCTTGGTGCAAAATGCGACCCCTGACCGAAGAGGAGACCAGCACCTTGTTCCAGAAGCTCTCGAAATAGTGAGGACCGGGGCAACGAGGGGGAACGAGGGGGAACGAGGGGAAGCGGGGGCCACTGGGCACCTGGGAGGGCCGGGCCGAAGGTTGAGGGAGGGGACACGTGGGCTCGGGGGAAGCCCGGAGAGCCGGGCCTGCCTCGGCCCCCTGCCTCCCAGCCGGGTGACCCCCGGCAGGCCCTGGACCTCGTCCTCCCTATCTGTAAGCTAGATGGTAAGCCCTTTGAGGGCAGGCACTGTCTTGTCTTTCTTTTCTTTGTGGCCCCAGCGCTTAGCACAGTGCCTGGCACACAGTAAACACTTAATGAATGTTGATTAATTGATAGATTGACCGTAAAATGAAAGGGAATTCTGCTGTGAGAGACACAGGGTGCCTGGACTGTTGTGCCAGAAATCAGGAAGACCTAGTTTCGAACCCTGTCTCACACACTAGCCCCGGGCAAGTGTTTGTACGGGCAAGTCACTTAATCCTTATGGGCCTCAGTTTCCTCATCTGTAAAACAAGGAGTGTTTGACTCAATGGTCCTGGGATCCCCTCTGGTCCTAAATCTGTGGTCCTATGAATTGAGGTTCCCTTTGTGTTTGCAGCATTGGAGAAAATATTCAATTGCTTGTGGACCGACCTGATGGCACCTACTGTTTCCGGCTCCATAAAGACAGAGTCTACTATGTAAGGTGAGTGCTTCTGGCTTGGGCTGGATCTGGAGCTGGTGGGTGAGTGTTTGGGAGACTCAGAGAGCCTGAGAGCACTGCTTATGCCGCCTGTGTTTGTCTCCATTGCCCGGCAGTGAGAAGATTCTGAAGCTGGCAGTCAATATCTCCCGGGAGAAGCTTGTGTCTCTGGGGACCTGCTTTGGGAAGTTCACTAAGACCCAGAAGTTCAGATTGCACATCACTGCCCTGGATTACCTGGCACCCTATGCAAAGGTAGGCAGTTGTTTCAATGTTGAGGAAATTGTTTTCAGCAGTCTGCAGGAGGTCTTAAGTGTCCAGGATTGCACCACATTAGTGGCTCTGGTCATCCCAGTACACTGGGAAATGCTTTGGTTTTGGCTTTGGCAGAACTGGATGTGAATCTCAGCTTTCCTTGAGCTATAAAACGAGGGGGTTGGAGTAGATGATCTCTAATGTATTCGTAAAATTTAGATTCCATAGTGGGAGGAGGAAAGATAGTTTTTGGTATAAAATTGGTTATTGATTACTGCTTGATTGTTAAGAGTTTTTAGTTAATCAGTGAAACTAATATCTATGAATCCCATTTGAATTAAATACAGTAGGCCTTAAACAGCAGAGTTTATAAGAGCTTATTTACCCAAATCTATTTTTTTTTGTACCCAAATCTTAAGGCTGCAAGCTGGTCCAGTTTCCTGAGGGAGATAAGGAAGGTGGATGATTCAGATTCAGACCGGTTGGGAGATGTTTTTCTTAGTACTACGTCTCTCTGGTATGGGAGATGGTATCTATCTTGGGACTTTGCAGAGAACGTTGACTTATTCTGTATTTTCCCTTTTGCCCAAATCTGGAGATTCCTCTTGCCAGTTGTGTTTCCACCCTTTGCCTTTGTTGTAGACAAAGGAGCTTATGCAACCACCAAACTTTATAAAAAGCTGCTCTGGTTGTAAGGTGTGTCTTTTGTCATTGAGAGATCACTGACCCCTGTTGGCAGTTGCTATTATCTTTGTGCCTGCCTCAATTACCTTTGTACCTCAGAGTGTCTTCGTTGAAGATTTTAAGTACTTTTTGACCTTGTCTTACTGGGATCAGAAGAATTTGACTCCTTGGAGATTCAAATGGAGTGAGCAAAGGTTTTTAGAAGTTCTGTTACCATTCGGCCTCATGACCAAGGAAAGTATTTTCTCGTTACTAATCCCTGTGAAACAGGACGAAATTAACAATCTGAAGGGACTTTTGCTCCCTTCTTCATTGTACTCTGTACCTGTCTTTTTTTTTTAAATTCCATCAAGAGAAAAATAACCCAAGAGCTAGCAGTCGGTTCAACTATTGGGATGTAAACATAAATACTAATTTGATGTCTCATTTAGATGAATATTCTTTCTTGTAGCATAAAGTATGGGTGAAACCTGGAGCAGAGCAGTCATTCTTGTATGGGAACCATGTGTTAAAGTCTGGCCTGGGTCGAATCACAGAAAATACTAATCAGTATCAGGGACTGGTGGTGTACTCCATGGCAGATGTCCCTTTGGTGAGTAGAAGTGGTAGATGCATTAGTTCTTTTTAGAAAAAAGAAAATTTATACCCTTTATGCATTCAAAGAAAATTTAGGGGTTTTGTCTTATAGTACTGGCTAAGTTTCCATGTCAGGCAAAGGCAGTGCCAACATTTGGGAATCACCTTTCACTGAGGTACTGCAGTAACCCTTCCTTGGGACCTAGAGGTGACCCTGAGTTCTCAAAGACTGTGCCAGAGAAGCATACTCTCCGGCAGGTTGTGCCGCTCTTAGAAAGGCTTCCATTGCGGCCCCACATGCAGACCGTCTGAGGACTAGCTTGTTAAGTGCAGAGAGCTCATTAACAGCAGGGCTACCGGTGGGGGCGGGGATGAGGACTTTTTGGTCAGAGCGGTTCATAAAACCACCGACTGTAGAGGGCAGCATTTGGGAGCATACCTTTTCGAGGGCGTCCTCACATTAATAGAATCACCAGGCCGTGAAACGAGGGGGATGGATAGAGCACAGCGCCTCGGGAATCATCGTCCTTTCTGGTCAATCTCCAGGGTTTTGGTGTGGCAGCCAAGTCCACGCAGGACTGCAGGAAGGTGGACCCCATGGCAATCGTTGTGTTTCACCAGGCTGACATTGGGGAATACGTGCGTCATGAAGACACGCTGATTTAATGCATCTTACGGACTTGTGACCAAGATTTTTTTCTTGTGGGAGCCGCTGAACTACCAGTCCACCCTCTTACCGACCTACGCCAGGACTTGTGGATGCACTTGGTCTTCTGTTGGCCGTTCTTACCATTGCAGAGGCCCTGGGGCCTAGTGCGTCAAACCCTGGACTCGGAAGTTGGAAGACTGGGGTTTGAATCTGGTGCTTAGCACAGTGCCTGGCACATAGTAGGTGCTTAATAAGCCTTGAATGATTGTCCTCTCTGACACTTAGCCCCAGGTGATCCCGTGCAGCTTACTTCACTAGATCCACCTACCCCACGGGGTTGTTGTGAGGATCAAATTGGAGATAAAGTACTTGGGGCAAAAGTGGGGAAGAAATCTGAGCTTTCCTTGTAAGCAGGTGCAGGGTGAGTGCTTGTCTAACAAGAAAGTGAGACATTCTGAACCTCTTTTGTTTGATACTGATTAAATTGAATACCATGCTTTATATGGAATGAAGTCACTTCTTGCTCCTTGGCATAGGGCCTGATATTTTTTAGAACTGAGGACAAATATAACTGTTTCTTGTAGCTCTTGTGTAAGCGGGTGGTTATTGAACGCTCAGCTGTCTATTCTTACGTGAATTCAGTGGCATAGGACAAAACAGGTACTTTGTGTTTCCCTAAGTTTTATGTACAGATTGCCGCCAGAGTGTAGTAAGGACACCAGGGTGTCATGCTGAGAAAGGTGATTGTGCAGAATTCACATTTGCTTTTCAGTCTCTGTTTTCCATGGTTTCTTTTCTGGTGTTGCTCCTACGGTATCCAACTGATCATTGTTTATTTGGAAATGGTAAGCCCTACTAATAAGATTAGGAGTTTGTTGAAACCGGGTGTAATCTCTCTATTAAATTGATGTGTTACTGGCAAGGTAGACTCCATTTGGGTACTGAAAATAGGGAAAGAAAGATACTTGTCTCTCCATCCAACGGACTTCTTTGAAGCCAAGGGCCAAATAGATGATGAACCTGTTGGGATCCTGCTTCTGATTGTTTTATCTTTAGAAGGCCTAGAACGATAGGAGTTTGGCTAAATATAGGTCTCATCACCTTACTGTACCAACCAAGACTTTTTTCCAGCTACATTTTAAAAAAATTCTTTTCCATTGCCTTACTAAGCTGAACAAAAGGCCCTTGATACAGGCTCTGAAATTAATGATTCACATCCACTCATCTGCCCCCTTCATCCAAAGGATTTGGTGATTTTTTTTTTAAGAGTACTTAATTTATATAAAGCCCCAGAAGGGCTGGCTCACATTTTAGACAGATTATTGCTTTACAAATCTACTTATCTTTAATTCAGAAGATGTAATTTATAGAAGTACAAAATGTTTTCCAACTTTGATAAGGTCTTTATTTATTTTTACTTAATATTGTCTGTGATCCATCTTCCAGCTCTTGTTCTCATACATCACTAGCTCTCTTTCCTGTTTTAAGATTTTTCTTTCCTTTAGCAACCCTCCTCCCCATCCCCCAACTCCTTTAGCTCTGGATAAATATGCTCAGTAGAACTTATGGGAATAGTTATTAGCACTGTTTAGAGCAACCTTTTAAAGGACTTATCATGGAGTCGCTTAAAGCCAAGTAATAATTCTGAATTTACTAATTTTTACTAGTGCTGATGGCCCTTTGTCAATGATGACAATGATTTTTTAAAAATTTGGTGTGGATGGTTAATTTATGTAACAGTTTCATAAAACTGATTTGATGAGCTCTGGGAAAAAAAAGGGTAGGAGGGATTAGGACTTAGTTTCTAGTCTTGCCTTTAACATCTTGGCTTCTTCGTGTCTGTGACCTGGGGGGCATTGAAGAGACGCTTCAGGAAATACAACTGCAGGATCCCAGAAAGGACAATAACTATACTCTGGGCTGTTGACCACCAGTTCACATAGTTATAGTTTGACTGGAGAATGAAAAAGTCAGACCCTTTCCTCATGCGGGCAAAATTGTAGTACCTCCACATGTGAAAGATATTCATCTGGACCTTTCGTGTACTCTCCTAAGGAAAAAGAAGATGAAAGAGGGTAAAGAAGGGTTCGTGTAGGTGGTCCCCAGTATTAATCCAAGCTGTCTCATGTAGCTTACACACTGGGCAGATGTTTTTCCCCATTGTGAAGTGAACAGCCTACATTGTTGCATATGCAGAATGTTTTTAGGCATCTGCAGATGTTTGTTCACCAAATGCTTAGGCTGATTATATGACAAGTTAAACCAGCATCAGAAGCCTAGAGCTTCCTTAAGTTCTTCAGAAATACATATTTATACTACCCTCTCCTACATACTGATCATAAGAGTAATTTTAAACTTGGGGAATACCCAGGTTATCTGGTTTCACCCTTTATTTTATTAATGAAAAAACCAAAGCCCAGAGAGATCAACTGATTTGCCCACCTAGGGCTACAATCACTCATCACTCTTACCACAATGCATCCACTTTCTTTTTTTTTTTTTTTGTCCCTGAGGCAATTGGAGTTAAGTGACTTGCTCAGGATTACACAGCTAGTAAGTATCTTGTGTCTGAGGTTGGATTTGAACGCAGGTCCTCATGATTCCAAAGCCAGTGCTATATCCACTGGGCCACCTAGCTGCCCCAGTGCATCCACCTTCTATGCTACCTCTGAATCCTTTCATGGTTGGAGATAAATAGCATTCCCCTCAATAATAATGTAACCTAAAGCTAAGACATTCTCTCCCAAACGAGCTGTCTGTTTCACATTTAGTGTTAGGGTTGAGGCATCTTCAGTACAACAAAGTGGGTGACTTGGAGAATCCAAAATTGAGTAACTATCCTATTCTAGACCTTGCCCACAAGACCATAATTTCCTACCATCCTTTCTCCAGACTTCATTTCCAATCCCTTTTTCCTTTATGAAAAAATGTGTTCATAAGCAGTTTCTGTCACAGTATGTAAATGTTTCCACCTTTGGAGCATTCATTACCTCAATGGCATCCAGAGTATCATTCAGTTTTTGTCTCTCCTCATTCTTCTGATTATTCGCCATGTCAGCTCCCTCATAAAAGACTCCAAAATTGAGATACACTTGGACAGTGGCAAAATGGTTATGTTGATTGCTCAGACAAAGCTGGTAAAAACCTGTAGGAATTCCCAGATGAATACTGAGTTTTCAATTTCCCAACATTACTCAAGTAAGGTTCTTATATGCCCCAAATTCCCTGGCTTTTAATCTGCTGTCCTTTATACAAAGCTCTTTAAAGCTACCTAGGAAGGAAAAAAATTGAAGTCATATTCTGATTTAATTCCATAGTTTAATAGCATTTATACTGGGTATAATAACTGTATTCCACAAGAATTTCCTTCTACCTCTTCTTTTTTCAGCAATGCATAATTACCATTTATTTAATTAAACTTCCTTGTCTCCCCCTTTGGAAGACCCCCCTTAATATAGTTCACCTTCTCTCTGGGATTAACTGATTTGTCCTGTTTTATCTTGTAGGTACATAGTTGTTTACACAGTCTTTCCCCATTTAGATTATGAGTTACTGGAGGGTGGGGATTTTTTTCCTTTCTTTGTATCCCTTAGGATAGTACCTAGCACAAAGCAAATGCTTTAGTCTGAGTTAGCTTGTTCAATAATGATCAAAAGTTTGTCTCCTGAATAGATTCACCTACTTTTCTGAACCATGCATTTTGCAGAGTTAACAAGGTCTTTTGTCCCCTACCTGGATTTCAGAGATGGGCTTTCTCCACCTTCTATACCTTTACATAAGTGGTCTCCTGTGCCTCCTTTCCTATGGAAAACACTTCTTTCCCACATCAGCTTTTTAGAATTCCTATCTTCCTTGAAAGCACAACTCAAGAACCACATCCTTTATGAATCCTTTTAAAGTGCTATCTACCTGAAGGGACAGCTAGGTGGCTAGCTGGATCTCTATCCAACTGGGCTGGATATGCTGGGCCTGGAGTCAGGATGACCCAAGTTCAAATCCATCCTCAACCACTTATAGTGGCTGTGAGACCCTGGGCAGGTCACTTAACCCTTAACCCTGTTTGCTTCAGTTTCCTCATCCATAAAATGAGCTGGAGAAGGAAACGGCAAACCACTGCAGTATCTACCAAGAAAAACTCAAATGGGGTCATGTAGAGTTGAACATGACTAAAATCACAACAAATCTACCTGAAATTGCCTTGTATACTTTGTATTTATTTCTTCATAACAATGAATCTCTCCCCAGAAGAATGTAAGCTCCTTGAGGGCAGGGAATGGGATGTCTCATTCTTTGCTTTTGTATCTACAATACTAGACATAACCAGTGGTCACCCACCTTGTCACAATGGTATCTGCGAAATTTTAAAAGATGAGGGAAACCCTTAGCACATGGAAGACTGCTGCTCTCAGGTTTATGGGAGTACATGACTAGGGACCACTCGTATCCTTCCAAGTATCTAATACTTTCAATACTATCGCGTATCCCTAGAGCCTCGCACTTAATAAATGTTTAAATGAACTTGTCATTTCCGTGTCACTCTAGGAAAAAACAAACCTTAATCTCAATACCCCCCTAGATGTTTTGCTCAGTTCTCTAGAAACCACAGACAGAGGCGACAAGATGGGGTGACTGAAGAGGCAGCTACTGTACTACTGAGCACAGACCTGTCTCTTTGGTAGAAAAGTTGATCTGGCCTCGGATATCCTGGGATTTATCAATGAGAAAACCTTTTGGAGTATGTGCGGTGGCAGTAATATGACGGCCGTGTAAAAGTCCCATTGTCCGCTGGACCTGCCAAGATATGGAGAGCAAGGAGAAGAATGTCTAGGTGTGAGCTTCTTAAAACCTGGGAATTTTCATTTTGTCTTTCTGTCACCAACATCTAGTGCAGTGCCTTGGAGCACAGTGGACACAAAAGAAACCTTTGTTGAACTGGACTGATTTATAACAGTCAGAAATGAGAAGATATAGAGATCTCAGCAACCAAATGCAAGCCCCATCTGAGCAGGTCAACAGGTCTGAGCTTACAAAACTGAGCTATTGGGCCATATTTATGCCCTTTCACCACTTTAAGAAAAGTCATGTGATGATAAATCTGTAATTTAATTAGATATCTTCAAAATAGGGCTCACCTTTTTGAATTGAATTAGCATCGAAAGCAGCTTTTATACCCTTCACCATATACTCATTGCTTGGACTTGATGTCCAAATATCAGTGTGTGTGTGTATGTGATTGTGTGTATGTGTGTGTGTATACACACATGTACACATTTATCCATACACATATATACAAACACATACATATAATCCATATACATATATACACATACATTTTTTCAATCATCAAAAATCCATCTTTCTCCCATAAAGAAAGAAAAACAAAACTCCTATTACACACATCTACAGTCAAGCAAAATTCTCACATTGGCTATGTTCCCTCCTACCCCCAGAGTCTCAGTTTTCACTATGAGCCCATCCCCTTTCTATTAGGAAGTGAGTAGCATGTTTTATCATTAGTCTTATGGGATTGTGTGTGATCATTACACTGATCAGAGTTCCTAAGTCTTTCAAAGTTATTTGTCTTTACAATGCTGTTGTTAACTGTTTAATACATTCTTATAGTCTGCTCACTTCATTCTCAATCAATTCATATATGCCTTCCCAGGTTTCTCTGAAACCATTCCCTTCATCATTTCTTACAACACAGTAATATTCCATTATACTTCTATAACATGATTTATTCAGCCTTTCTGTAATTGATGAATGCTCTTTAAGAGTTGCTATACATATTTTTGTACATTTGGCTCCTTTTCCTCTTTGATCTCATTGGGGTATAGTTTCAGGTTGTTTTCAAGAATGGCTGGACCAGTTGACAGCACAACAGTGCATTCATGTACCTGTTTTCCTATAGCCCCTTCAGCATTTGTACTTTTCCTTTTTTGTAAACTTTGCCAATTTGAGGGAGATGAGGTGGAACCTCAGAGTTATTTTAACTTGCATTTCTCTGATAATAATTTAAAGTATTTTTCATGTCACTATGGATAGCTTGGATTTCTCCCTCTGAAAACTTTATTTATAGTTGTGATGGGAATTTTAAATTTCCCTATTTATTTTTTTATTGTTTAGGGCTCAGGGCCATTCCTCCTACAACTTTTGGTTAACCGAAAGTCTGTCTTCTGTTAATGTTAATAACATAACCTGACTAAAACCTGACTTATGGAAAAATAATGTTAAAGAAAGACTTCTGACATTCCCAAGGTAAGAAACCAAATGAGAGGAAGAAGGGAATAGAGCATCTTTAAAACCTCCCCACAAAAATTTTACTTGTGGAAGAATTTTCCTGACATGTACATCTCAATCAGTACATTGTGTACTCTCTAAATGTAGTTTAATCAGTAACCTGACTTAGTTTCCCTATAGAGTTTATTAAACTAGGTTTGATTCCTTAGGGGATATATGAGATTTAGTTAAACTCTGTTTAACTAAGTTTGTTCAACTTTTATGACATTGAAGGAAGCAAGGAATTATGAATGTCTTTAAAAAAAAACCTTTTGGGGCAGCTAAGTGGTACAGTGGATACAGCACTGACCCTGGAGTCGGGAGGACCTGAGTTCAAATCCAGCCTCAAACATTTAGTTGTGTGACTCTGGGTAAGTCACTTAACCCCAATTGCCTCACCAAAAAAAAAAAAAAAAAAGAAAGAATGAAATTAGAAGATAGTCTCCAATGCATCTTTTAGGGGCAGGTAGGTGGTGTAGTGGATAGAGCTCCGGCCTTGGAGGCAGGAGGACCTGAGTTCAAATCTGGCCTCATACGACATGTACTAGCTGTGTGACCCTGCGCAAGTCACTTAACCCCAATTACCTCACCAAAAAAGCAAAAACAAACAAAAAACAAAAAAAAAAATTTATATCCTAAAAGTTTGTGTGAGATTGCAATATGTAAAAGAATTTATTTCTCTGTCACTCTGACATTAATTATGTATATAAAAGCCACTTTAGAATCCTAATCTTTGTTAACTTTATTTTTTTGAATCCTGAACCTGTGCCTAAGCGTAATAAAACCTAAGTTTTTGCCTTTATTATTTTTGCTTGGTAGTAGATTTATTTCAGCAGCAGTAACTGACCACATGAACACAAAGAGGGGCTATTCCTCCCATGACACAGCCTTTGACCATTTATCATTTGGGGAATGGCTCTTATTCTTATACATTTGAATCACTTTCTTACATATCTTCAAGATGAGATCTGTATCAGGGAAATTTGCTGTGAACAGTTTTTTTCCCCATTTACAGGCTTTTCTTCTCATTTTAGCTGAGTTAGTTTTGTTTGTGCAAAACCTTTTTAATTTTATATAATCAAAATTGTCCATTTCACCTTTTGTGATCCTCTCTGACTCTTTCTCGGTCACGAACTCTTCCCCATCCATAGATCGGACAGATAATTTCTTCCGTGTCCCTCTAATTTGTTTATGTCGTGTTTTCACCTTTCTCAGAGTTTGTTTTGTTGAGGAGTAATCACTCCCTTAATCTACTCTTCCTCTTCTTGCCCTCTCTGTCTTTTCCCCTAACCTACCTCTTTCCCTATTGAGTGAAATGTATTTCTTTACCCTCCTGTGTGTATATATATTCTTACCTCCTTTGATCAGTTCAGGTAACCATAAGATTCAAATGTTGCCTGTTCCCCTCACCCATTCCTCCTTGTTCATATAGACTTCTCCTTGCACATTCCAATTATGAGATAATTTTCCACATCTTTCCTTTCCCTTTGCCACTTCTTCTCCACCCCACCAGTTCATTTCTCTTCCCACTCCTTTCCAATCTTCTTTTAAGATCATCAAAACATCCAAACAGAACCATTCCCAAGCCCTCTGTCTAGTAAGATTCCTATGACCCCTGATGATGATAAGTTTTCAATGGATGTTTTATCTCCCCATATAAGAATGTAAACAGTTTAACCTTGTTGAGCCCCTTAAGATTGTTCTCTCATTTACCTTTTTATGTTTCTCTTCTTCTACCTTTTTTTGTTTATCTTTTTATGTTTCTCTTGACTCCTGTGTTAGAATTTCAAAGTTTCTGTGCAGTTCTGGTCTTTTCATCAGGATTGCTTAGAAATTCTCTATTTCAGGGTTCAACAAACCTTGGCCCACGAGCCAACTCCATCCCACCGACTGTTTTTGTACAGACCATTTAGCTCACAGGCTATACAAAAACAGACAGCAGACTAGATTTGGACTGAAACTTATTGCCAACCCCTGGTCTATTTCATTAAAGGTCTATTTTTCTGCCCTGTCTAAGACTGTACTCAGTCTTGCTGGCTAAATTATTTTTGGTTGTAAGCATATATCTTTTGCCTTAAGCACATATGAGATTCTACAAATGGGAAAAGGACCCACATGTGCAAAAATATTCATAGCAGCTCTTTTTGTGGTGGCAAAGAATTGGAAATTGAGAGGATGCCCATCATTTGGGGAATGGCTGAGCAAGTTGTGCTATATGAATGTGATGGAATACTATATGTGCTATAAGAAATGATGAACAGGCTGACTTCAGAAAAACCTGGAAAGACTTGTATGGTCTGATGCTGAGTGAAGTGAGCAGAACCAAGAGAATGTTGTACACAATAACAGCCACGTTGTACAGTGACTAATATTGATAAACTTAACCCGTCCTGGCAATACAAGGATCTAAGACATCTCCAGAGGCCTTGTGATGGAAAATGCTATCCACATCCAAAGAAAGAACTATGGAAGTTGAATTGCTACTTTTTTTTTCTTCTCTTCTGTTGAGTTTTGTTTTCTCTTTCTGATGGTTCCTCCTATTGGTTTTAATTTTTACTTACAACATCACTAATGTGAAAATCTGTTTAATATGAATGTAAATGTATAGCCTATATCAGATTGTGTGCTGTCTTGGGGAGGGTGGTGGGGAGGAAGGGGGAGAAAAATTTTAAACTCAAAAGCATATAGAAGTGATTATTGAGAAATCAAAATAAATTAATTTTAAAAAAAGCATATATGAGATTCTAAGCTTTCCGGTCCTTTGTACTGGTGACTGCTAAGTCATGATCCTGACTGTAGTTCCTCAGTAACTGAATTCTTTATTTCTGGCTGCTTGCAGCATTTTTTCTTTGACCTGGAAGCTCTGGATTTTGGATATAATGTTTCCAGGAGTTTTTATTTGGGGATTTCTTTCAGGAAGCAATCAGTAGATTCTTTCTATTTACATTGTGCTCTCTGTTCTAAGAGATCTGGACAGTTTTCTTTTATAATTTCATGATATATAATGGCCATTATTTTTTTTTACTTTGATCATAGCTTTTTAAAATTACCTCTTCTCAATCTGCTTTCCAGGTCCGTTGTCATTGTAATAAGATATCTTACATTTTCTTCTATTTCTTTCAGTCTTTTGACTTCATTTTAACATTTCTTTTGTCTCAGTGATTCAAGACAATTCCAAAGGACTTATGATGAAAAATGCCATTCATCTCCAGAGAAAGGCCTTCTGAATGCATATCCAAGCATTTTTTTTAACTTTCTTTATTTTTCTTGAAGGTTTTTTGATCTGTATTTTCTTTCACAACATGACTAATATGGAAATAGATGACTGCACATGCATAACCTCTAGAAATCATTTGCCCTCTCAATGAGGAGGGAGGAAAGGGAGCTTTCGAGAAAGGGAATTTGGAAGTCAAAATGTAAAAAAAGAATGTTAAAATTGTTTTTTTATGTAATTGGGGGAAAATATTAAATTAAAAAATTGAAAAATAAAAAAAATATTTATTTTGTCTCAT